GAATTTGCTAGATATCCACGAAGTTTATTTGAAGTTGATAGATGGAAAGCAACTGAATTCCGTTTATTTTTACTTTATACAGGACCAGTATTATTGAAAGATGTTTTATCAAAACGTATTTATGAGCATTTCCTATGTTTAAGCGTATCAATAAGAATACTCTCTCACACATATATGTATATTAATCAACGACAATATGCGGAGGAATTACTAATTTATTTTGTTAAAAATTTTAGTAAATTGTACGGTATACAGCATATGTCATATAATGTACATAATCTTATACACCTTACAAATGATGTGACTCGCTTTGGTCCATTAGATATGTTCAGTGCATTCAAGTTTGAAAATTTTTTATATAAATTAAAGCGTAAAGTACATACAGGAAAACATTATTTGGAACAAATATGCAACAGGCTGGAAGAAGCAACACATTCTATACAAAGAAATGAAATAAAAATATTCCCTATTATTCACTTAAAAAATGACATTATCGAGAAAGTAGAATTAGTAGGATTCAATCTATCCATTAAACAATTTGATAACTGCTGTATTCTAAATAATGGATCAATAATCTTTATAGAAGAAATTACATATAAAGAGAAAGAAAATCATATTTATTTAGGTGGCAAATCTATTGCAAAAAAAAATCTTTTTTCAGTACACCTTGTGACTCTACAATTTTATCAATTTTTTTAGTATCTAAAGTTAACATGTTTGCTATCGATTCAGTGAATATTAACCAAGTACGTGAAAAGGGTGTTGTTATTGAAATAGGACCTGAAGATTTTGTAATATTACCTTTTATACACACACAATTATAATATAATAAATAAAAAAGATATTATAATAAATAAGAATAAATGAGAATAAATATAGGAATAAATATTAATGTAAATATAACTATTGTAACAAAACGAAAGTAAGCTTTCAAATGTATATATGCCAGCAAAAGACGAGTTGATATAAATCCAACAAAAGACGAGTTGATATAATTCTGCTCTAACTTATATCATTATTTAATTTCATTTAACACTCAATGAAGAACAAAGACAATACTGGACTTTTCAGATATAAGAAACGTTAGAAGAAATGTCTTCCTACGCTGTAGTACGTTTCATAAAAGATCATGACTATTCTGAAGTACCATTTTCATGGCTTAACAGCAACAACAACCGATGCTGGTGGCCTAAAGTAAAAAATGTATCTCAATACATAAATCGTAGTATGCCACCTGATCCACCAACATGGGACAATTATGATGTGGAAGTTGAAGGAGTTTACGGTAAATATATATTTTATATTAAGTCTAAAAAAATATATATATACATAACAATTACTAGAATTAAATATATATATTTTTAAATTATATATATTATATATATTATTTATTTTATATATATATTTTAAATATATATATATATAATTCTAGTAATTGTTATATATATATATATATATATATATATATATATATATAACAATTACTAGAATTATATATATATTTAAATATATATATATTTTTAAATTATATATATTATATATATTATTTATTTTATATTATATATATTTTTTATATATACACGTATCACTTATATAATGTTTATTATATTACAGTTACTTATTTTAGAAATAGAAATTATAAAGTAAATTAGATAGTGCATTCAGTACTATAAGTGCTCACTGAGCGCTTAGTGATGTTTTGAATTTGATTGGCAATATCTTTATATCTAAATATATAACATAGCAATCATGTGCAATATCTCATTTAGTGCTCAGTGAGAGGTTGTGTTACTTAATACACCCATGTGAAATAAATTTATATTCAACAGCAACTGTGCAACTAGCGAGAAAAAAAGCCGAGAACAGTAACTGTACATCTTCCGAAGAAAGTGTTTCTCGTGGGAAAGGAAAAAGAAGAAAAAGGAAAAAAGTCCTCATAAGCGATGACGAATCCTCTGAGAATTGCGAATCAGACCGTGAGTTTAAAAACGAATTTGTTGAAATTTTTTTATAATAAATTATTTACACATAAATATTAATTACAAATATAGTACACGCAAATAAAAATGATTTAATATTAATATTAATATTAATATTATTATGTTAGAAATATTAATGTAATGTTTTATAACAGGTTATGAACGTCCACCTCCATTCATATCAAAGGAAAATATAAATAAACATCAGAACATTGCAACACTTAGTGCATCGCATGATAAGGTAAAGGACAACGTTCCTCTTTCTTCATCAACAACAAATATAAGTGATGGACAAGTTTTATATATAGACCTACCAAGGAAAGAAAATAATAAGAACATTTGGAACACCTCAGTAAGCGAAAATAATATTGGAATCGAGTCTAATTCGATGCATGTACAATCAGCATTTCAAACAGAAAGTATGCCTTCCTCTTTACATATATCCACACAGCACACGACATGTAGGGATCATCCTCAGATGTCTTCAGGACGACGCAACATCCTACGGACATCCGAGGACGGTCCCTAGACGTCCGTGCTGTGTGGATGTCTGTCTGTATGTATGTAATCGTGTTAAATTACATATGTTCTTCAATGATTTTTTTAGTACCTGTTCTTCATACAGAAGTTGCATCTTCAAATGAAACACCAGTCACTAGTGTTACTTCAAATTTGTACAGTAAGAAGGAACTTTAATACACACACATACACACGCGCATATACACACCACAGACTACATTTATACAGCAGCCTAAAATCGGTTTAGTAATAACCATACTTAGTGAACTCATGAATCCAATTGGATATATTTCTAGATATAAAAGTATATACCAATTAGATACGAGAGTTCACTAACTACGGTTGTTACTAAAGGGCCTATTCTATGGCTGTGTTCCAAAATTACTGATAACGCTGAAAATCTGTAATATATGTAACGTAAACTGTAACTCTTTAGTGCTGATAGGCAATTTTGGAACACAGTCTATAACGTTTAATGATGTCGTTATGTTCGCTGCGCAGTTATTTTATAATAGAAAAAATCTGTGCAATGATACATAACGATGTCGTTAAAAGTTATAGAATATACCCCTAAGTCGAAGTTAGAAGCCGTGTAAACGTAGTCATATACACGTGTACGCGCGTGCACATGTATACATCATTTAGCATTGTACTTTTGTATATTATTATATGTTTGCATATATGTCCTGTGTATTACAGGTCAAAAACAACAAAAAATTTTAGAACAATGTACATTAATAAAAATGTACGTAAGAAGTATTGATAGCCGATTGAAACGTATAGAGGATGGAAGAGTAAAAAATAATAATAATGTCTACGAAGAAATGCAAATAATACAAAACATTTCCTTTAAAGACAACTGATGAAATTACTCATTTTGATCAGAACTTAGATGATAAAAACGTTACAAACACATTTGTATGTTCTTTGAATAATGTTTATTGTAATTGCTAATATTTTCGTGTTATAACAACTAATACCACTTTCAAATGATGTATGTCAAACGTATTGGTGGTACCAATGAAACGGACAATGTAAAAGCAATTTTAAAAAGGATTTTTACCAACAAACTTGGTACACAATGCAGTTGGTTGGGTCAACGAAATAATTTTAAAATATGTGATCTCTCACTAATAACAGTAATTAAAGGTATGTACTTACTTTTGTTTATTTATTATTAAATTTATTATATATATATTATTATTTATCTTTATACTTATATAAATATTTTCAGATGTAGTATTGTCAGTACATGGAAATTTTCAAGAAATGTCTTTTAATAAGGCTGTGAGTGAATGGTTCCGACTAAGCAAATTACGATATCAAAGAGAACAAAAACATGGACATCATCTAGAAGCAAATGCAGATAATGTTTCTAAAGAAAATATAGACAATCCTCCTGAAGCAAATGCCGACAATCCTATTGAAAGAAATTAAAATAAACTCTGTATTATATATTCATATGTGCATGCATATATGTATATATAATAACGTATTTGTACTTTAGTATTCTTTATTACAAACAACATTGTAACGGTTTGATTTTGAACCAACAGTCTGATATTTCAATATTTTAATAACTGCATCAATTTTTT